AGAGGGAATGGGGAGGGAAAAGGCTTGGGCCTACCTATCCCGATAGAATCCCATAAAAGAACGAGAGTTGTTGAGAGGTTTCGTATTGTCGAGACGAAGGATAACACTTTTGTACGTGATTGTAGTATGTCACGTCGTCTCGTATCCTGCTGCATCGAAGAGAACCTATGCACTATCATTTGATTTACTGTCAGGGAAGATAGCGTTGGGGTGAGGAGTCTACGATGTCAACTTGGTATTTATTGACTTCCTAGCCTTGTATGCTGATTTTAAAGCTGAATTTGCATTTACCCACTGCATAGGTGCATGGAGGCCACTCCTAGTTTAGCATGTGCAAACAAATGTGTTTTTTGTTGGAGACATCACACAAATCCTGTTGGGAAGAGCTGGACGTGGAAGATGGATGATCCTATTGAGATTGTGAACACAGCTATAGATTTGCATACCAAAATGATAAAACTGATGAAAGGCGTTCCAGGTTTGTTTTCTGGTACACATGAACATATATGTTTCCGTGTGAACTTGTAGGGAAGTTTAGCAATGCCACATGAGAAATAATGTGCTTGATTGAAATCATTTGGTGATTGTATTCAACATGTCTCTGTTTGGTCATTTTGTTGTGTCCAGCACCTTGGGTTGAGTTGTGTTTAATTTTGATGCAAGGTCCTTCCGATTTCCGAATAAAAAATGGTAAAACTGATACTGCTAACTGTTGGTTCTCCATTCCGCATCTTCCCTACTTACTCTACTCCTTAAGGACATGAAATGTAGAAGTGGATACAGAATTTTCACAATTTTTTTAATCTGTCTGGATAAAATTGATGTCCTTTCCACCTTACATATGCATTTTCTTTATTAAAAAAAAAAAATAGATGTCCTTCCACTTTCTTGCTTGTAGTGGTTATTGACCAGAATATCTCACCCTTGCAGGTGTTAAAGCTGAGCGTTTGTCTGAGAAATTGATTTTACTAGGCTGTATTCGTCTTTCTTTATCAATCTTTTAAGTATGTCAATATCCAAATTCCATATCTAATTCTCGCTTCATCTTTAAATGTATAGTTGTATGTCAGCGTAGATGCTGGTACAAAGGACAGCTTAAAAGCAATTGACAGACCACTATTTGGAGACTTCTGGGAGCGATTTCTTCTAAGTGTCTTGAATATAAAGATATTTGTCAGATTCAATCAAAAAAATTAAAATAGCGTAATCTCAAACTGCTGTTAGAGTTGTCAGCTGTAAACTAGTGAATTATAGCAGCGTGTCTCAAACTGCTGTTTTTGTGATATAGCAGTGAGAGGAAAGTTTTAAATGTTTACTTTTACATCAGTGCTAAAAAAGATTCATCGGCCACAGGAAACAAAATCAAAATTTGCCATATTTTCTCTGTTTTTTCATGTTTGTTTTCTTCCATTCAGACTGCTCACTATTGGTTTGTGTTATTTCTGATTTCATTAGGATTTCCTTGAGAGCTCTCAAGGAGAAGGAGCAAAGAACTGTCTATCGTTTGACACTCGTTAAAGGGTGGAACACAGAAGATGTGGATGCATATTCTAGCCTATTCAGCATTGGAAAACCCGATTTCATTGAAATCAAAGGTGTCACTTATTGTGGAACGTAAGTTCTCCCCCTCACTTTTTTCCTTTCCCCTCCCTCTTCTCTTCTACTAGTTGATTTGATTTCAAAATTCAGTGCGTAAGAGTTCAGTTAAGTAAATTATAACTATACCATTCCTTTTCCAATAGCGTAATCAATGTTTTTTACACATATGGCGCTACAGGTAGCTTCTGGAAGGCCCTTTACAAGTAAAGATTACATGACACCAACACCATCTTGGGCTGTCTATGGAGCTGAGGAAGGCGGGTTTGATCCAGAGCAATTGCGTTTCAAAAAAGAGCGGCACCACAGATCATCTCGTCAGGGAAATGGTTCTTGAATGTTCGAAGCAGTTTTGGTTACCTCTGGGATGGCCTAAAATTTTGTTCCTTCGACTTAGATTTTGCTTTCCTCCATTTTCCTATACAAGTTGCATTTCACAATATAATTGCAGAAGTTGTCACTGATATGAAAATTGTCCTCAACTGTTGATGTGTTTCTTTGAGCTGTTATAATCAAATGATTTGTATTACATTTTACTAAATTTACTCATATATCAGTAACTATCTGAGTAATCGACTTGAAACTGAATGCAGTTGAGTTCTTGGTTTTCGGTTTTTAAATATGCTAATCTAATAACAAATTAATAAGATATTTTTTATTAGTTTTCGGTTTATTGATTTTTGATCGTTATCGGTTTGGTTTTAATTTATTCAATAAGAAAATATTCCTAAAATAATATATGATTTCTCACTTCTCTAACTACTTTGATATAGTGAAACAAGAAAGATGATGAGAAATTGTATCAATAAGAGCAAATGTAGTACGAAAGCTAAAATTACATGTCATTGTCAAAACATATTATGAAATTTTTTAATGTTAATCAAATTACAGACCTTTAGAAACTTGCAAAAGCTAGCCTACCGTTACAAACTAAAATTAAAATCAAATGATCCAACAAGACTAAAACTGTAACACCCCAGAAAATTTTTGATATGCATGTGTCTATAAAAAGGAGGTTACAGTTTCTTACACAAGATACAAACTTTAAGATGTGTGAAACACTTGCAAACCATAATCAACGTTACTTATGTCACATATAAACTATTTGTTGTTGAAATATTAAAAAAACAATAAGGGACATGTTGTACTAAGTATAAGATATATTAGAACTATATAAGAAAAATATCACATATACCAATTCAATAGATTGTGTATAACTACAAACAATTATACTTCTCTTTCACAATTTAGTTGCTCAAAATTACTTGCAAGTTTTAGTAGCATCTATATCATTTAATTTTTTTGTACTAATTAACACAGGACACACATGCAATGCACGTGTCTAGAGACTAGTATTACTATAAGTGGGAACAAAAAAAGCTAAAATTTGAATTGCAATTTTACCCCTACTATAAATTAAAATGTTATAAAAACATTTAACTATTTAATTCAAATATTAAATTGTATCATTTTAATAAAAATGTTAACGATTTTTGCACTTCCTTAGATTAATTCCTAATTAAATATCTAATTTAAGAGTAATATTTATCATCTATAATCTATATGTATACTATAATCTAATCATCATATCATATATCATATTATATATTATTATTATATTATCATATTTCATATTTATACTAAAAGTGGGAAGAATGTTAGGCAAAAGTTAAATTACCATTTTGTCCCTATATCAAATACAAATACTATTAATTATCTAATAAATTTTTAATTAAATATTAAATAGTAAATTTTAATTAATACAAGGGAGAGTTACACATTAAGCCAATATCAAATTTATCAAATTCTTTCGATTACAATTTATTCATGTTGTATGGTGAATTAATATTAAATTGTTATAAGTAATTATTATCAAGAAGACAAAAAGACTTCTAATTAAATTGTTCAATGAATTAAGGTGAAGACCAAACATTACATAATTACGTAGGAAACTGATGGACCTCTTTTATTTTTTTCCTTTCATCTCCCCTCACCTAAGTTTTTCCTATCTAAAGTCACCTAGAAAGGGAAATGAATTTACAAATCTCATGTTTGATCTTCTTATTAAAGTATGTTAATGGCAATACTCTCTTATAAATTAAGATCTATTTTCTCATCTTTGGTATATCATTTCTTTCTTCTTTTTTGGTATCCTTTCTGGTCATAGTCATAAACCGCAAAAGAAAAGTTGGCATCATTCTTTGTAGAAATGTTAAGGGCAATAGCATTATTGTTGTATTTGGATCATAAGCGCTATGGTTGATTGATAATTAATTGTAAAGAATGTTTGGCAGAAAACAATATTTTTTTAATCATGTTGTATGAATTACAACAAAATAATGAATTATTTGTACTATTTTATGTAAAGTGCTTATAGTGATGACCATTTTTTGTAAGTGATTTTTGTATTAGTTTTAAATGTTCTTTTATAATGTATTATTTTCTTATTCCTTTTTAGTTAAATATGTTCTTTGCTTATATAAAGAAATTTGTGTCTAGATTACAAGTAAATAGATATTACTTATTAGATTTTATATAATTATTGGCGTGGAACATGTACAATATTATATTTCTTATTTCCAAATGAAATTAAAAATTATCTCAATGAAAGATTAGATATTTTATTATATGCCAGATTGTTTTACATGGATAATATGAAATATTTGGCAAATATGTTGAATGACTATACATACATTTATAATTAGTTCATTATCTCATGAATTAATATATTGCCTCTTTTAATTAATAATAAAGAGATCTAAAAGTATAAAGTTCATTATCAATGATCCATATAGAATTAGATAACTATTTTAATTTTCAAACAAACACTCTTACTCTAACAATTATATGTGTAACACTAATTGGTAAAAAATCTTCCTATATCCACCATCATTTATACTTTTTACTGCAACATAAATTCTATAAATACTTAACATTTACAAGTCAAACATTATAATAAGATATCTAAGGACTTACATGGAGCACAATTGGCATATACTATAAACTTATAGTAATTGGTAAACTTGGCTACACGCGCGGCGCGCGTACCCAGAAACTAGTATTAAATAAAAGGGAAAAAGGACTAATATATCCGAACTATTGTAAATGGTATGCAGACACCCTCCGTCATACTTTTGGGATATCGATGCTCCTGCTGTCCAAAAACTAGAGCATATATACCCTTTATACTAACGGATATACACATATCATAATCGTATCGACCGACCCGACATTTATTAAATATCGGACCGACGAATAAGATTGTGTCACGTGTCCCTATTTAGTCTTCTTGTTATCGCTCTCGTGGTTTTTCAGGAAATTAGCCATCATCGTAGTGTCAAACATCAAAATCGAATAAATTTTTCAGAAGCAAATGGTGATATTAACAAATTACCAGTCCTTAATTCATTTATTTTGGACCGAAATGAGTAGTAACCACAAATCTCTACTTGTACGACATCATTTGATGTCGAGTTAAACTATTACTAGTAAAAACATGCATACTGAAGCAAGCACAGTTGATAAACTTTGTCTAACACTAAGACTAAACATACTTGACAGAAACATTCTATTACTTACAGAGCCACATATTTCCCTAATTTGTCCAGTTCGTCCCGTGAGGACTCCAACATTTCCTAATTTTACCATCGATGCAGCAAAATCTTTGTAGAAAAGATGAGGGTACAAGCTGTAAGATTTGACCATATCAGCTGTCTGAGAATTTGACATTAGAGCTTGATCTGATTCAAGTAGTCCTGAGTTGTTCATAAGGTTTCTGTAATACGCATTGTCAAATCTCGTAACAGATTGTATGTCTAAAGGAGTAAGTGTGGTGTTGGATTCATCCGTGTCAGGACAAGTGCATTGCAATTTCGACAACATTGAAGAATCGAGATTTGGATCTGGCTTTCCTGAGTCTTGATAGTTGAAAAGTCTCCCCTTGAATGTGAAACATTGAGCAAAACCAATTGTGTGTGCTCCTGTATAAGTTGCAGAGTCAGAACTTTCATTAAGAAGAATGCAGGACGGCCACGCCTAAACTAAGGAAAACTTATGAATTTTACTAAAGATACCTGAAAGAACTACTAAATCCCTTAGATCAAGACCTTTATCGGAAAACTTGGCCACGATTTTATCCAGAGGCTCAAATGGCGAAGGTAATTGTTCATTTGCTGCTTTCTCATTGGCAGATAGTCCATCTCGTCGACCAAGTAAAACAGGCCAAAATGGTCCTCCTGCCTGTAAAGCAAGAAAGGAAAATTTATCGTATTTGGTTTAATCATTTCCAAGCATTACAACAACTCATCTGTTACTTACCATGACAACAACTTCTCTAGCTGCAAGAGTTAATATATCCACACAAGATACAGTTAACGGGCAAGCTCTTTCAACGTGTGCTTTTATGATATCAATCGTCTCATATCCTCTGACTGAATTGCGGTTTGGTGCAGCATTCTTCTCGCCCTTGAAATAGTACGTGTCATCAAGCAACACGGATCCATCACAACCCTATCAAAATCATAACCATAAATTGATCATGAAAATGATTATCAAACAAATGAAATAAGATGTTGTACTTACTACTTACATTAACAAAACAGTCATGGAAGTGCAAACGAAGGAGGGATGCAGCTATTCTTGAGTCACTACGGAGTGCTTCCCAAACATTCCAACGAACAATCCTATGCAAGCTCGGACATGCTCTCTCATAGTAACTATAATCAAGCTGACCATCACTAAAGGGAGCCAGAATACTCATCACACAGAACAAAACAGTAAGGCAGGGGAACAAACTACGACTCGCCATAACTTTCGAGTAATAAAGGCTAAGAACAATACTTCAAATTATTCTTGTGACTTAAGTTGTGCTGCATTATAACAATTTATATATGTACTGAGAATAAACTAAGTTACATTATTGGACTCAATAATGGAAATGCCATTATGCACATAAAAGCTTTACAATTTTATATGAAAACCAGAATATTTTAATAACTAAAGTTCAGTAGTAATGAAGTTATCTACTTTTGGCATATATTAAACTCTAGTACGTTAGTTAAATAACAAGAAAAGATGATATTAAAGTGATTCTCTATCTGATAATCTAACACTCTTAATTTACCATATAGTTTTTCTTAGAAAGGATGTAACAGGCACACATTTCTTTTACAAAATCAGATGGCATCTTACAACAAATTAGAGAGTAATGGTCAGGGTTATAAGAAAGAAATTACGTAGTACTTTTGTGGCTGCTAAGGATCGAGTCCTGGATCAGTCATCAGGTGTCAGTGTCGGAGTCAGGATTAAGCCCTGTTCAAATGTCGGGTTCCGAGTCAGGAGTCAGATTTTGGGTCCAGAGTCGAGGTCAGGTCCCAAATTAGGTGTCGAGTTTGGGTCCCGGAGTTGAATCCCGATTTGGAAGTTCGTTCCGGGTCGGTTGTTGGGGTCGGATCTCGATTCAGGTGTCGAGGTCGAATCCCAATTCGGATGTCGGTTCCCAAGTCGGAGTGGAATCCCGAGAAGGAAGTCGGGTCCCAAATGGGGAGTCGGGGTCAGGTGCCGCATTGGGTGTCGGGTTTAGGTTTATGATACAATAAAACTAATCATAAAACTAAATGAATATTTTCAACATTTTTCATCTTAAAAAAAAAGAAAATTAAAACACTATTTACACATGAAAATATGTGTCAAACATGTATTTTACCAAATCCATTTGTTATTCAATCCATTTTTAATTATTACTCATTTTATATTAACCTGTTTTCAATCCGCTCAATTTTAATCCAACCCGCCTATTTACTAGCACCCGTGAGGGTTCTAAGAAAAAAAGTTTAGTATTTTGTGGCTGCTAGGGATATAAGAAAAATATTAGTACTTTTGTGGCTGCTAAGGGAATAAGAAAAAAGTTAGTACTTTTGTCTATCACCTAAGAAAAATAGTGATGGATACTGTCATTGCCACTCTGTATTTTGTATCTTTAAATATATATATTTAATTAAATATTAAATAATTATTATAGCATATTATTTATATCATCATCATATTACGTCATATTATATATCATCATATTATACTTTAAATATAAAAGGAGTTTTGATTCCTTCAAACAAATAATACCATAATACTAATATTTTGGTACAATGATGGAATGTACACACATCGTAATAATAATAAAAAAAGTGAAGGAGAAAAAAACATTCGAATGGTTAGCATGTTGTTATGGTGGTACATTTAATGAATAATGATGGCTTCTACAATTATGAATAAAGATGGTACATTTAAAAACTCAACATTTTCATGCTAGATCAAAATTAAGCAGTTGAAGAAAATTTTAAATTACACAATTTAATTGTTGATGAAATATTTCAAAAAATAATTAAATTATGATAAAAGCTTTATTTGTATAAGTAGAATTTGAAATCAATCGAGATGTTCTACCTAATTTTCATTAGAACTCTGTAAATTGAGCATTAGCCATTAGTTTGAGTTTTTACTTGAAGCAGTTTACTTTAACTCTGTAAAGCGGTTTACTTTAACATTTGATCATGTCATATATGCATCTCGTGTACCACATGTGCATTTCATATCAATTAGTAAAAATATAAAAATATTTCAAAATCATGATATTGATGTTAAATATGTATGAGAGGTATATATTTAAAGTAAAAGGAAATTAATGGAAGCTCAACATGATAAAGGATAATCTCATCATTTCGTCTAACTTGCTAATTAAACTCAAATTTATTGGACACTAATGTTTAATTTCTTGGAATAGTTTGATGAGTATATGAAACTACTACAATGAACATTTTATTTTATTCTTAGCTTAGTTCAATAATTTTAAACGTAAAAAGATCTATAATTATAACTTTACTTTTAGTAGCTATTGAAAAATTGGTCTCCATAAAATTTAGGATCTAAACACTTGCCTTAATTAACGGCTTGTGTATTAAGCCGGCCATCTTGATTCCAAAACGTAATTAATTATATTACAAAAATAATATAGTCTTGCTTGTAGTGATCGATCGATGTTTGTCAAATATTATTATTTGTATGTACGTAGGCCATTTATGTTAAGAAAGTCAAGAGGACAAGTTAATTAATCCGATTAAGTGCATGGCCTTATTTTATATATATATATATATATATCATAAGTAAACATATTACGTGGGTTCAAGTTCAAGATGGCAATGGAATCATCAATCAACACATGAGTATGAACAGATTGACGATCTGATCCTTCAATCTCTTTAAACATTTCACTCCCAAAATCGAATAAATTAAAGAATGGTGTAGTTACTCCCATTAGCAGCCAGTAATATGCTCTATTCGAATAAGCAGTACCAAATGCATGGTTTACATTGGTAAAGAAGGGGATTTTAGGTTTGAAAATTCTCCATGATGAATCCCTAGAACATGAATAAACCGATGCATAATATTCATACAAATGATTAACAATGAAAGTAAATCACTTTATAGTCATTAGTCAAGAGGACCAATGAGTGCGGGTCAATGCAATCAGAGGCCTAAAGTGAAATTTCAACTAGAGGCCTAAAATCTAAATAAACTTCATATGCATTAATTATTATTATTTTTAAAAACTTACATTTTTAAATGCAAAGTATACTTAATATTTTTTCTATAAATGATTTATTCGATTTCTCTTTCAATTATTAGCTTCAGATAAGATTTTATCAATTCAACGTTGAAAAACATCTTCTTACTCGGGCAATTATTATATGAATTGTTAACATAGAATTTGATTCAAGAAGATGATAATTTTGTATACCTCACATTTCACTATGCTTGTTGTAATGGTTGAAAATCTAAGAAGAAATAGAAAAAAAAATTACAATTCACTTTGCTCAACACATTTCGACTATTGATTCATATTTTTGATAGAGTATTACTCTAACTTATCAAAAATTAAAAAAGGGAGCGTAAAAGGAGTTAAAAGAATAAAATATTGTAAATATTAGCGTAGAGAGTGTAAGAAAATAAAACATTTTTTCTTGATTTCTTCTATTTAAATGAGATTAAAGAGAATAAAATAATAATTTTTATTTTAAAAAACATATTTTATCATAAATAATTAATCTTTTCTATAAAAAAAATTAACATATACATAATTTATTATTGACAAAAAATTGAGGCCCCCTAAAGTTGGGGGCCTAAGGCCAATGCCTTATTCATATAAGCATAGAGCCGGCCCTACTCCAATCCAAACTATTATCATAATATACTTTTGATTCCTTTCGAACAAATAATACCATAATAGTAATATTTTGGTACAATGATGGAATGTACACATCCTAATAATAATAAAAAAAGTGAAAGAAAAAAAAAAGAGACATTCGAATGGTTAGCATGTTGTTATGGTAATATATTTAATAAATAATGATGGCTTCTACAATAAAGTAAGTTTCTTAATAATGTTCATATTCATAGGACTTACGAGAAAAAGAGAAATACATAAACAGTACTCAAAATGACTTTCTGCTTATTATTGAACTTCATTTTGCCAAAGAATATGCAAGCTGATCATCCTAACACAATTTTTTCATATTTAGCTAGTTCTTTCTCTTATAGGAAAAGATTTGTTTTGCTAGTTTTTACGTAACACTTGATTATTTCGATCTTAACAAAAACCTCCTTGGAAACTCAAAAAGATTGTTGAGATATATGTAGCCCATGAGAACATGATCCGCTTAATTCAATCCATCGAAAAAATTGACTGATAGATAGTTCAAATTAACTTATGACGAAAAACTTTATCAAAATATTTATAAAAAGAAATATATTTTTAATTTAAAAAGATCACTTGTTAACCTTCTTAACCATATCATGTGCAAATTTACTCTCTAGTTTTATATATGTAATCTATTCTAGTTTTTTGGTATTACTCAGGGAGGTTTTCGGTTTTATGTTCCTATTTCTTGTAATTATTTCAAATAAAACAAGGTAGGGCCAATGTTGAACCCCATTTTAATTTATTTTATTTTTATAAAAAAGGATGACCCTGCCCAATGGGGTTAAAAATTGGTTGAAGAAAGACCAACATTCAAGATTCGAGCCGAAAGAAAATTATTTTGATAATGATGAATTATTCTTGGAGTTTTTGGTTTCGACATTTGTAGCATATATGAAATTTTCACATAACCTAGCAAATTTAACTACTATATCTACTATATTTAGCTATAGTTTTAAAATATTATCAAATATAACTATAATTAAAGTTTTACCGTAAATCTCTCTCCTATGTCCCCCTCTCTCACCTTTCTATCTCGCTCTCTTGTTGTATCAATTGTATTCTGCCAAATATTCGAATGAATACGTAGGAAAAACAAGAAGATTACCAATTGTATCAATTGATACAAGTTAATGAATACAATTGCATCACTCTAATGGTTATGTCAAACATGTATATATTAGCCTATATTAGTTTGTGTATTAAATATAACTTGTATCAATGAATATTTGAGTTCTTCACACTTGCAATAATAATGCTCCCTATGGATATTACTTTTACACCACTTTCATTTTGCTGGATACTCAGTGTAACAATAAGAAAATCAAACTAAATTTGAAATCAAAACTTTATAAAGCATCACAAAAGGAAGAGTCTTTCTATAGAACAAGTTGAGGCCACATATAATCAGCTTTTGAAAGACCAAAACCAAGTACTATGAAATTGTGTGAACATATAAGTTCAATTACATACTTAAAACAATTAAATGATTAGGTCACATATTATTTGTTGTACTCGTTTAAAATCTCAATTAATGGTCCGGCTCTCCATCCTCTTGTTGTTTGATTGTTACTAAGCTCTCCTTATAATAAGTAACCCCACAACCACCAAATGTTGGATGTTTACTCAAGCCCGAATGTTGAAATCCAAGATACATCATCTTATTAGTCCGAACATTATAAGAGACCAGTTGAGAAGCTTTAACTACCGAAATGAGATAGCTATCATAGAAAGACTTAATCGGTGTGAAGAGTTGAAAGGTCACAATTTTGTTCCAGACCCCTGGTTGGATCAAAGCCCAAATATCATAAGCAAGCATACTACATGGGTTATAGTTCAAGATGGCAATGGAATCATCAATCAACATCAAACCCAACGCAAAAGTATATACAACGTTTCCATCTGGCCCTTCGATCTCTTCAAACATCTCACTTCCAAATTTGAATGAAAGAATGGTGTAATTACAATGGTTGCCCCCTCTTAGCAGCCAGTAATACGCTCCATTCAAATAAGCAGTACCAAATGTGTTTTTCACGTCTGTGTAGAAGGGTAGTGATTCTTTAGGTTTAAAAATTCTCCATGAGCCCCTAGAACAGGAATAGATTGATGTTGTATATTTATGCCAACAATCGCAATGAAAGTAAACAACTTTATAGTCATTAGTCAAGGGGTCCAACCCGAACCCCAACACAGGGACATCATATATTATGGGTGCAGGGAGTGGGAGATGGAGGGATCTCACCTCTCTAGTAGCAGGATTCCACAATGCACACGAAATCACAGTATCAATTGTTTTGTACATTAAAAACAAGCCGTCCACAGAACCTATGAGGTGTGTCATACCTTTGAACGTTTGTGGATTTTCTTCAGAAATCAAAGTGATGGAACGAGAATCTTGACCAGCATCATCAGAGGTACCAACCGTATAGGTGAGGAGTTGTGGGGGGCTTCCATTCTTCAAGTGTTGTTGAGCGAATTTAGGGTTTTTTATAAGAGCATACCAGCTCTTGCTGACACATTTGAAGCGCAACAATGACTTCACTGGACATCTCAACAGAATATCCATTTGTATACCTTCAGGGAAATAAACCACACAATCATCCATTTTGAGGTTTCAACAAAAGCAATATTGCTTCTTCTTTAAATAGACAAGAAAGAAATTCCCCCATTCTTATCCTACATTTCTATTACCATAATTCATTTTACCACCATTAAATGTTATACTACCTTTAGTCATGCAAATCCAAAATACTTTGACTACATTTCTCATATTAAATTTTATTCTCTATTTAGTCATGGAAATCTAATTAATACTACATTCCTTCTTACTCAATTCAAATTTTGTTCCAAATTTAATCATGGAAATCTAAATACTACTTTCCTTCTTACTCAATTTAAATTTTGTTCCATATTTAATCATGGAAATCTAATTACTTTGACTACTTTCTAATGATACTTTGACTACATTTCTCATATTAAATTTTATTCTGTATTAAGGTATGGAAATCTATTTACTACTTTCCTTATTACTCAATTTAAATTTTATGTTCCAAAATCCAAATACTTTGACTACTTTCTAATATCACTTTGACTACTTCCCTTTAGCAGTCGTTTAAGAAATCATCAATAAGAATTAATATTTGTACTAGTTTTATCTATATATGTATTTTTTTACTAAGAGTCTGTTTGGATTGACTTAAAAGTTGGTCAAACGTATGTTTAAATCATTTTTAGATTTTAGGAGTGTTGACAAAGTTAAAAATAATTTAAATAAGTTTAAAATGACTTTAAAAAGTTTTTAAGAAAAACAAAAGCAGGACTATCCCTACTTTTTATTTTTAGACTTAAATGTCATTTAAGTTTGACTTTTTTATTTTTTGACTTAAAAACTACTTTTTTTTTTAAGTCAATCCAAATCGGTTTTAAATGCATACGTGGAAAAAATAATAATGGAGGAATTCTTTTGAAACTTCACAATGTGATGCACTTGATCAATACGGTGTACACATTTAAAAATAACTAATTTTAAGGGCAAAATAGAAAAAATAATATTTAATTATTTATGTCTTGATTTTACAAATTGATAAATAAATATTTTTAGTAATCTGGAAAAATAATATTGGACGGAGGGAGTAAGAAAAAGATAATATAAATTGTGACGAATATTTTTAGTAACCTTGACAAATAATTTAGATTGTGCAAGCTAAATAAAAAAAAAAAGTTATTAGAAGTGTATACGCTTTATTGTAATATGAATTTGTTGAAGCTCGTGTATAAATTAAGACAACATTGAAGAATAAAAATCATTGTCTTGATAGTACTATAAACAAACATTGATAGATGTCTTTAATTAATATAGTAAAAAGCAACATTGTAGTGGAGGAACAAAATTGTAATAGAAATTTTGAGTTCGACCATTAGATATGAAAAATATATTGATAGGGGTACATTCTCTTCTTCAATGAGCTTTACTCGACATAAATTGAGATCCAATGTGATCATTGGACACTATACAGATAATAGTATACATACAGTATATAAAACAAATCTTGCCTATTCAAGGAATATTAGGGATTGAATTTCGTGTGAGAGAATTTTATTTTCGATCGAGCTTACACCTATCAGACTAAAGAAAAAGTCAAGTCCATCAACTAATGAAGAGAAGAAGGAAATGTCTCTTGTTCCAATTAACGAATGAGGTTGACTATCACTTTATTCATAAGAAGATTCAAGAACATAATTTCTACTTGCTATATGAAGACAAGAGAGAAATTAGGTGATATATTCACAAAGCTTTAAATGAAACTAGAGTAAAATACCCTTAATTATACCAAGTTGGACATTATTAATAATATATATGCTTCAACTTGAAAGGAAAAAAACTTTAATGAAATGTGTTATATATCATTTGCTCAAGTAATTTTACATACTTATAAGCTCAAATACAAACACTTTATGCATACAATAGAGTTATAACATTAAGTAAACATGCTTATACTTCACAAATAAATGATTAGGTCGCATATCATTTGATCTTCTGTACTCGTTCAGAAGCTCGATTAATGGTCCAATTCTCCATCATCTCGTTGTTTAATTGTGACTAAACTCTCATTATAATAAAATACTCCACAGCCACTAGCTTTTGCATGATTTCCCAAGCCTGAACGTTGAAATGCAAGATCCTTCAACTTGTTAGTTCGAACATTATAGGAGATCAGTCGAGAAGTTCTAGTTGCCAAAATGAGAGAGCTATCATAACAAGACTTAATAAATGGGAAGCATTGAAAGGTAACAAGTTTGCTCCAAACCCCTGGTTGGATCATTACCCATATAGCATAATCAGACATATTAAGGTCGTTCAAACTCAAGATGGCAATAGAATCATCAACCAACATCAAACCAAATACATAAGTATGAATATGTGGCCCTTCAATCCCCTCAAACATTTCACTCCCAAAGTCGAATAAAAGAACTGTGTAGTAACTATGATGGCCTCTTAGCAGCCAGTAATAAACTCCATTAGAATAAGCAGTACCAAATGTTTGTTTTACGCCTGTAAAGAAGGGGATTCTATGTTTGAAAATTCTCCATGAGTCCCTGGAACATGAATAGACCGCTGCTGAATTTTCACACAAATAGCAAACCACTTTATAGTCATTAGTCAAAAGGTCTACTCCTAACCCGAACACAGGGCGATCATTGATCATTGGTGGAGGGAGATGGAGGAGTCTCACCTCCCTAGTAGCAGGATTCCACAATGCACACGAATGTACATGATCAATTACTCCAAACATTAAAAACAAGTCGATCACAGAACCTAAAAGGTATGCCATACCTTTAAACGTTTGGGGATTTTCTTCAGAAATCAAAGTTAGGGAACGAGAGTCATAACGATCACCATAGTTACCAGTATTATAAAGCAGGAGTTGTGGGGGATTATTCTTGCTACAGTTCAAGTGTTGTTGAACGAAGTTAGGGGTTTTGAATAGAGCATACCAGTTCTTGTGGACACATTTGAATCACAATAACGACTTTACAGGACACCTCAACAGAATCTCCTTCACTATATCTTCAAGAAAATTAGCCACACAATCATCCATTTTAATTTAGGTTTCAATAGAAGCTCTTTAAATAGACAAGGAGAAAATTCTCTCATTCTTATCCTTCATTTTTGTTACCATAATTCAATTTACCAGCATTAAATTTTGTTTTAAATGTAGTCATGGAAATTTAAATGCTACTTTCCTTCTTTTCTCATATTAAATAAATTGTGTTCTACATTTAGTTATGAAAATCTAAATACTTTGATTACTTTCTCAAATTACTTTGACCACTTTCTCATATTACTTTGACTATTTTATCTTTACCAACTATTTAAGAAATCAGAAATAAGAATTAACATTTTTTACTAATTTTATTCATATTCTCTTCTGACTAAATGTATTCATGAAAAAACTAAACAATGGAGGAATTCCTTTGAAACTTTACGATATTCATGCACGTGATCGATACGATTTACACTTTTAAAAGAATTAGTTTTAAGGACAAAATAAAAATAATAATAATAATAATAACTAATTAATTATATCTTGATTCTATAAATTGATAAATGAATAACTTTAGTAATGTGAAAAAATAATATAAATTGTGGCGAATATTTTTAGTATTCTTGACAAATAATTTAGGTCTTGCAAGCTAAATAATAAAACATTATTAGAAAAAGCACGTACGCTTTGTTGTAGTATGAATTTATTGAAGCTCATTTATAAATTAAGAAGGCAGAATGATCTGGGAGACCCCTGTATTTGGCTCCGTTTGTCAATTGAATCCTCCTACTCATCACTTTGCCAACCAAACCTTTAATTGCATCAGAACACAATATTTTAAACTCCTTTGACCATTGACCGAGCTTATGTGACATTAATATTGGTGAGTTAGAAATATGTGTGATTACACGCGCTTGAAAGCGAGTTAAAACAAAATTTTACTTTTAAAAAAATCAATTTAACAAAATTAAAAAATAAGATCTATCTTCTTCAACCCTCCTTCACCCACTCACCCACCCATCCCACAACTTTCTTCTTCTCCACCAGCCCTCTCTCTTCTACCCCTCACCACAGCCGTCAACTTTCTTCTTTCTCCAGCCCCACATTCACTCTTCTCCGCCTCTTCTTCTTCTTTTTTTTTTATACAAATCAATAGCCTCAACTTCTTCTAAAATTTTCATTTGTTAGGTTTGAAAAATATTAGTATCATTATTTTGTTAGATGGTTTCAACGAGGAGATGTGGATAATGTGAAGGATGATTTTGACTATTGAAAATTTTAAAACTCCATTGATAAGCTTGAAAAAGCTTAAAAAATAATAAATGGGTATTGTGAATTTGTAAATGATCTATTTGATTTTTTATTTTTTTTAGCACTTAATTTTGTACGTGGCACTAAAAAATGATGTGGAATTCCACGTGTAATCACGTCCATTACACGCACACTGACCGGAGGAGAAAAGGGCTTAAAATGTTGTGTTCTGATCGATTTAAGGGTCTAATTGGCAAAATGATGAGTATGAGGGTTCAACTGACAAACGGAATCGAGTACAGGGGTCTCTCAGGTCATTCCGCCAATTAAGAAAACATTGAAGAATAAAGATCATCAACTTGATAGTACTATAAACAAACATTGGTAGATATTTTTACAAATATAGTAAACCTTAGTCAGCAGAACAAAATTATAGTAGAACTTTTGGATTGGAGTATTAAATATGAAAAACATATTGATAGGGGCATTTTCTTCTTCAATGAGTTTTACTCTATATAAATTGAGATCTAACGTGATCACTAGACACTATATAAAAAATTTACAAGTAAAAAGATTAAAATAGCATTATTTTAAATAGCTACTCCCTTTATTTCATATTAACTGAATTTTTGATTTTTTTTTATTGTTGAGTAATTAAATTATTCAAAGTTCAAGTTGGATGTTTAAATTTTTTTTCATATTTGTCCTTTCTTGATATTTTTTTAGGAGATAAATTGCACTATTTACGAAATTATATTTTTATGATTTCACAAAGGACAATAGTGAAAAGTATAATTCAAATTATGTACTTAAATGTATTTTTTTAGTAATATATTGCCTCACAAATTCAATTAATACAAGAATAGATGGAGCATGTCAATGCACATTTGGAGATATTACTTGAAGATCACATACATAAAAGAGAGAAATCAGCACCCATTCAAAAATATATAAAGCTGTGTTACCAAATTTAGCTAAATATATTTGTTTTTGTTTAATATGCAAAAGTAATACTAATATTCTACTCAGTCTTTGCTGGAAATTGAAACGCTTTCTCATTAGAAAAAAACAAATATTTTCGACAATAATTGAGAACGTAAGAAACAGCATATGTTATGCATTATAATCATTTTTTTTTAATTATAGATAGATTAAGAATTTGAAGTTTATTAATTTCTACGTTAACCTTGAGTTATAGATGACAATAAGTATGAGTTCATAATCAAATATTTATTGATATTTCACAAATTTCTTAATATATTTTTAAAGAAGCGAATGTCATTTAAATATTAGGAGAGGAGCTCTAGCCATTTTATCTTATATTATCCGTTGAGCGAAGCTCGCTAGTCAATTAAGGATTATTTTAGGTGAGAAACTATTTGTTTTTTATATGCAAATGTTTTTATTTTACGACAATAGAGACCTTTTTTCTTGTTAATTTCAATAGTATAAAAAATTAGAGATTAAATTTCGTGTAAGTGAATTTTTATTTTCAATCGAGCTTACACCTATAAGACTAAAGAAAACGCCAAATTCATCAAACTGATAAAAAGAATAAGGAAATGCATCTTATTCCGATCTACTCAATATAATATTGATGGAATTAATATATAGTATAGATTAAATTAATCTTGAACCTAATTATCATTTGAACAAATAAAATTTTTATACTGGTAATATAATTTCTCGTTTGCATCTTCATGGAGTTTTGAATATACAAAATCCGAATAAAATTATTGAATTCATCTAAATTCTATAACATATAAGCTAGCTCCACCTCTATCTATAATTTAACTACGTACCCTTCGGGTTTTTTTTTTACTTACATAGTACTCCATAACAAAATTATAAGTTTCTTCTAAGTGTGAAAATTACAAATTAAAGTGAGAATACACGTCATTCATCATCGATCGTTAAATAATATATACATACAGTATATAAAACAAATCTTTCCTATTTATTGTGTGAATATAAATATTTTGAAGTCAAAAACAAAAGTTGGTTGGTCCATTCAGAAGACCCAATAAATGATGAAATAATTTTATCACTGCAAAAGATTACAGAGAAGAAAAATACCTCACGTCTACCAAAATCATGAAAAGGACAAACTTTTTGACAATATTATATCAATTATCACCTCAAATTTCCTCTTTAGCAAAAGCAAATAAAAAGAAACTTCTTGTTTAAACACCCTCTTTAGAATAAGAATCACCTAAATAAGTAAATTAGAGTGCAAAATACTTGTCAGAACAATATATTCAGTGTAATTATATAATGAATTTATAAAAAATAAGACATACAGTAACCTTATTCCCATCTTTGAAGAGTTTGAAAAGGTAAATATACACAAATCTTATTCATACCTTTATGAAATAAAAAGATTATTTCTAATATATCCTCGATTCAAGAGAAAAGTTATCAAAATACAAATGCAAGAAAATACAATAATAAAATAGTAAGACATTGAGAATTTGAGATAACAGTACACATGAAAGAATAAGAAACTACACAACTACTATATTTAGGATGAGGAGATGAGAGACTAGCATCCTATCTCTTCCGCAAAAAATGTGACAATACTTGCAATATACCAAAATAATTTAATTTAACCTATGTTGATGGTAAAAAAAAAAGTTATATAGGAGTAATAAATTATATATTTTATTATCAACTTACTAATCCCACTTATTATAAACAACTTTACTCTAACACAAAAAAAAACCACTTATTTTTTCAAGTTAATATACATAAATTATACGCTAATTATATACATATTAATCAAGTGCATGTTGCATGAATTGGTCTCTACAGAGCTTATCCAAGCACTAGTTGTTAGCATATAGAAATTAAACTCTAATGAGAAAAACTACCTATTTTTAAGTTTAATATACACAAATTATATACTGATTATATACGACTATACACATATTAGTCAAATGCATATTGCATGAATTGGTCTCTATACAGAACTTATCCAATTTTCTTGAAAGGAGATCACACTTAACACAAAAAGTCATTAACATGTCATATCACAATTCAATCCAGAGTGTAAAGCTAATAACCAATTCCTCCCTAACTAAAATGTTTCTCACAATTAAAATAGGCATACTAAACACCAAAATAAAAAACTAATAGCACTAAGAATTAAACTAGGAAAGTAACAAAAACCAGTAGATGAAATTAAATTTACTTTGTTTCAAAAATTACCTAAAAGAAAAAGGGGGATTCTTGAAACTTGATTTTTAGTAGCTCAAGTGGTTTAGCACATCCACTACCATCAATCGATACAAGTCACGTTGGAGGATAAGTGGGAATACTGTTGATCGAAAAAATTAAATTAGCAACTCTTTCTTGGTTTGCTTTTTCTTCTAGCTCTGCTCCTTGTAGGTTGTTGTTGTTGCTTTTGTGGTTGTAAATTTTTTTCCTCTTCAAATACATCTTCTTTTTTGTTTTCTCCTTGTGATTCTTCAACTTCATTTGTTTTGAGTTTCTTTAATTCAGCAGAAACTTCTTCTTCACCATCTTTAACAATACTAATAATCTTTCTTGGTCTTCCTCTTTTTCTTGGAGTAATTTGTTGTTGTGAATCTCCACTCATTGCTGATGATTCTGCTATTGCTACTGATAACTCCTTAGTTTTCTTCACAACTTTCTTCTTTCCCATCAATCTTTGTGACAATCCACTAAACTAATTTAGTCATTTTAAAAGCTTAGAAATTAGAATATGATAAAAATAGAATCTTGAAAAATTCCAAGAAATAAAAATTCAATTTTTGAGGTTTCTATTGCTCTCTTTTAGTATATATGATAACAAAATCCAATCTTGAAAACTACCCCAAAAAATAAAAATCCAAAAGTTTAAGGTTTCTAGAGCTTTCTTTTTGTACATATGATAATTAAAATCCAATCTTGAAAACTACCCACAACATAAAAATCCAATCTTTTAAGATTTCTAGTGTTTTCTTTTGCATATATAAACTACCCACAAAATAAAAATTCAATCTTTAATGTTTCTAGTGCTCTCATTTGCATATATAGCCTTAAAAATCCAATCTTGAAACTACCCACAAAATAATAATTCAATCTTTAAGGTTTCTAGTATTCTCTTTTGCATATATTACCTTTAAAATCCAATCTTGAAAACTACCCACAAAATAAAAATTCAATCTTGAAACTACCCACAAAATAAAAATTCAATCTTTAAGGTTTCTAGTCCTCTCCTTTGCATATATAACCTTGAAATCCAATCTTGAAACTACCCACTAAATAAAAATTCAATTTCTAAGGTTTCTAGTGTTCTCTTTTGCATATATAACCTTAAAAATTCAATCTTCAAAGTTTTTGGTGCTCTCTTTTGCATATATCTATACACCCTTAATAGTATATATGATAAAGAAAATCCAATCTTGAAAATTACTCAAAAAAAATAAAAAATCTTTAAGGTGTATGCTGCTCTGTTTTGCATATATCTCGTACCCCCACCCCCTAGTAATTAACCAAAAAGATTAAAGACACAACATACCCAAAGCAAAGATGATAAGAAAAAGTAAAAGAAATGAATAACTTACTTTTGTGAGATGGTAGAGCCAATAATCATAAGAAATAACTCATATGTTTTAACTCTTTTGGTGCTAAGCAAAACCTTTCATCTTTTCATACAAAACCATAGAGAGAGACTTGAGTTGAACAAAAAAACAAGAGTCAATTATATATGAAAAATATTAGAAGCTACAAAGCAAATATTTCCTTTTTTCCTTTTTTCCTGACTTATCTATTCATTCAACCTTCTATTTTCCCCTCTTTGCTGCCAACATGGAAAACAATAGTTCCATTAGAAAAAAAAATAAAATAATAATAATAATAATAAAATAAAAAAAAAAAAATATATATATATATATATAT